TAGAGCGTCGGCCTGTGGACTGAAAGGTCCCAGGTTCGATTCCGGTCAAGGGCATGTACCTGGGTTGCGGGCACATCCCCAGTGGGAGATGTGCAGGAGGCAGCTGATCGATGTTTCTCTCTCATTGATGTTTCTAACTCTCTATCTCTCTCCCTTCCTCTCTGTAAAAAATCAATAAAATATATTTTAAAAAAAACCAAAAAACTTTTTCATGTCCTTTAGTCTCCTTTGGGCACATGACTTACGTTATTTAGAAACTTACAAACTCTAAGAAAACATATACTTCATCATTGTTATAGAAAAGGATATGCAGGTATCTCTTGCCAGGACTATAGATATGTATAATATGTAGCTAGAAGTCATTATAGCAGAACTTTTATTTATAATACATTCAGTTGGTATGAAGAACAAGCTTAAAAGCATGCCAAACATTTCAATAATAGTTGTTTTGCTGTAAGCACCTCATAAAATCTCTGAGCATTTCCTCTGAATGTACTCAGGAGACCCCTGAGATACAGCAGTTTAACCTAGACATGGACTTGTTTGTGGCACTAACAGCAACCCTGTTTCCAAGTTAAAGTCCCGTGGTACAAGCAGTGGGTCCTCTTTTTCAGGGGAGCACGAATAACATAAGTTTCATACAATTAAGTTTGACCTATTACTTCATATGCCCTTTATATAACAAAATAAGTGTGGGACATTTTATCTTTATGTGGATTTGCAGATTAGCATTTACTAGTTTACCTCTTTTATTTTCTCCAGCTTTGCTTTAAAAGATCTTCACTGATTATTCTGACACCTGCTGGCAAGGGCAGACTTTATCCCAATCTACTTTTCTTTCGACAACTCTCCCAAATCAGACTTCTTGGAGGTATTTTAATTGACAATTAAGTGGTGATTCATTCAGTTTAAGTATTTACTTAATTTCTAGCATTATCCCATAACTATGAGAAAATACTCAACATGGGTAACCATTTGATTTTTTGTAGATAAATACTTGTTTGCTTTGATTAACCAACAGATATTAAAGTCATTACATGGGCAATGATTTAAAAAAAAGGAAAACATACTAGGCATCTTCATTAAAAATGCAGGTGAGAACTGAATAGTAGGAATGGTTTGGCTTTGATTTTCTACTCTTTCCCCTGCCACAAACATAAATGCCAGTTTGCAAACTACTTAGGAAATAAACTCAACTATATAAAGAGTAAATTTATTAGCTGTGATGGAAGCCATACCATTGATTACATATTTGCAAAATTTATTTGTTACTCACTACCTATTCATTCTGATTTACTCTGGTTTGAACTGTGCTCTGAATCCTGCATTTTTGTTGTTGGTTTGTTTTGTTTTGGCCAGAATACAGTATAATGAACCTACTACATCATAAATCATACTCAATTCTATTGCACCTGCAAGTGTGTTCAGTGAAGACCAAATATTAGAATTAGTTTCTTGGGCTTTAGAAACTTGAATTTAGCACGTTTTTAAAACAGTACACAAATGATAACATATACAGTCCATCCCATTCAAAACCCTGTAAAAGATAAAAACTTTAAAAATAAATTACCTAATTAACATTTTTATCTCAATATCAGTGAAATTAGGAGTATGGGCTACAAATGTAGGCTGTCAAAACTATTAACTTATATTTTGTAATAGTTGTGAGTAACCAAGCCATTTCAGTCATGTATACTTTATCCCTTTATGCTGCTATAATTTTGTGAGAAATCATATGTATCCAGCAATGAAAGCAAATGTTATTAGTAACATTAAAAATATCCTAAATCCTGAATACATGTTTTATATCAATAATGATCTTAAAAATACAACAGAGTTTTAATTTAGAGAAGTGCTATAAATTTGCCTGGTTTTGAAGATCTTTGTTACTTCAAGACCCTAGAGAGAATAGGCTATTTTAATTTTTAACCATTAGTTTGTTTTATTATAAATGTTGTCCCAAAATCATATAAATTTAAAACAAAATGCATTTCAATTCTAAGGAAATATTTCAACAATAATGTTCAGGAAAAAAATGTTCATGCGCAGAAGGGGGGAAAAATGTACGTTGCACCATGAGAGTGGATGCCATGGCCAAGATTTTGCATTAGTTTGAAATAGTCACAGCAGGATACTTAATATTTCCTTAATTATGACTTCAACATCTCAAAATTATTTTTAAAGGTTTCAACAGGAATCTAAAGTTAGCATTTATCTTTAAAGTATAAAATTAATGGTCATGTAAATTAGGTAATGAAGACACTAATATGTAATAATTTTAAACACATAAAAAACTGTTATTTCAGCATAAATATTACTATACTAGTATAATCATAGAAGCATAGTGTTGTTATCCAGTGAGATTGCTCAGCTACTAAGCATAGTGTTCTTATCTCCAGTGAGATTGCTCAGCTACTAATTTATTTTCACGTAGAATTAACTAAAAATCACCATTTATTTAAAAAGGAAATGTAAATACCGATGGTTCAGAGTATTTGGGAAGTGTCTAGACATCTTTAGACAGTGCCATTTGCTAAAGACTTCAAGCACAAACTGCAGGCAAAGGGACAGATTGCATAAGATGTCACGTGCTTGCTGCAACTGTATGCATGTTATTGGATTTTTTAGAGCAACCCATAATGATGAATAATTTAAGAGTTAATAAAATATTCAATCTGATCCATTGGCTTAATTTTAAAATAAAAATAACTAATAAAAGGAATTACACATCCTTATCAAATCCCAGGCATTAATGCAGGGAAATTGCAACCCACGCAGGGAAACTCCAATTTCTAAAAGGCATACACTGGATAAATGATATGTGTGCAGGGGGGGTGGGCGGGGGGGCAGGGAAGGTGCAGGGAAATTCTAAGTGTTAGCACCAGCTTTAATAACTTTGTTCAAAGTTTAATCGTTTGGAGCTGTCATGCAAGCTGCACTCTGCCTTCTGCAGGGCTGAAGGAGAATAAAGTGGAAATGTGCAAGTTTAACATAAATTGCTCATGGAAAATGGTGTTTTTTCCTAAATCCCTCTCCCTACAGGCTGGCTGACAAAAGAGAACCCTACTGAAGATTCTGGAGTGCACAGCTGTTGGCATTGTCTAGGAGCCTGATGGGAGGCCAGGCAACCTCACCAAGGTGTGTTGTCTGGCAGGGTAAACTGTGCCCTAACCCTGGTACCTAGGAGGCAGCGCTCTGGGCTGCAGCGAGCTGAGACTCATCCTGCCAAGGGCTCCTCACCCCGACCAAACAAGGCGACAGGGACCCAGTGGCCACACACGCTAAAGGCGCCGTCGCCTCCACCTCGGAGCTGGGACAGAGCGTGGCACCTTGTAGGTGCGTGTGAGTGGGTGAATGTGTGTGTTTTCGTGTTTGGAGCAGGAACGGAGGTGGGGAAGGGAGGAGGAAAGACGGAGTGCCTGCAGCTCCCCCTTTCTCCCTCCAGCTAAAGGATCAAAGTACAAAAGCAATTCAGACGGGAAATAAGAGAAAGGGAAAATATTGGTGGTGGGAACACAATGTTTTTCGTATCGCTGGGGACTCCACCGAGCAACTATGGAGCCATTACCATTCCGCAACCTTCAGCGGGGTGGCTGCCTCTGCCTGATCCCTGGAAGGGCACTTGGTAAATGCAGGCGAGGTTCATACCTACACACACGCCTACTCGCGGGGGAAAGAGCCTCATCCCGGGAGAGGGAGGGAGGAGGCCGAGGAAGGAGAGGCAGCAGACAGCTACTGGCGGGGCGGGGAGGGCATGTGGCCAGGAACGCGGGCGAACAGTAGCCTCAGAGCACACAATTGTCCTGCGAAACAAATGGAAGGACGGGTGCGTGGACGGATGGTGCAGAATATTCATTCAGTATGCAACCTCACATGAATTCTAGTCAACACATTTTCCATCCAACTCTCCCTTCTTAGAGGCAGAGTATTTTAAACCAGGCAGTGCACTCAGCTCTCCGCGAAGCAGCCTGCGGGCTCTTCAGAAGGGGCTGCCGGCACCCGGGAGTGCAGAGGGGGCAACCCCTCCCCCGGCCTCCCCGGAGCCCCACGGCTCCCTCTGCCCTTTTCCCACGCCCCCGTCAGCCCCCACCGCTGCAGAGATGGGGGCCCGCCCAGGGCTTGTGTTGATAAGCGACCCCTCGCAAGGGACCTGGAAGTCACAACCCAGCAGGAGACTCGTCCTGGCCCTCTTTTTTTTCTCCCCAACAGGCTGGTTTATTTCACACAAATCATGGAAAGCACCGGCAGGCCAGCTCTTACAACTTTTCCGCTCTTGGGCGGAACACGAGGGTCATCTCGCACCGCATGATTTTCCATTTCCAAGAGTGAAGCTTGCACAGAAGGGAGGGCTGAGCAAAGCCTGAGCCCCTAGGATTAGAGCAGAGGTGGCTTCCCCGGGGTTTTCTGAAGCCGAGGCTGCCTCCGAGGATGGAGAGGACGAAGAAAGCAGAACTGACTTGTCTGTCGGACAGTTCTCCATCTCACCCTCAGCCCAAACTCCCGGAGTGAGGTTTGGGTTGCAAAAGGCTCAGCCCAGCCTCGTGCCAAAGCTCTGCACCCCGGGGGCAGGCAGTCCCGCGCCTCTCCAGCCACTTCCCTTTTCAACTAGATGAGCTGAGCCCAGCCCCACCCCAGGAATGCCCACCCGGGGTGCCTAGCAGGCTCAGGACAGCACCGTCCTTGGCCGGCACTGCTCAGGGAGGGCTCCAGCGGGCCGAGTGAGAATCTGTGGTGCCCAAGAGCGCCGTTCGTTCCCTCCTGCCTCCCTTCCTCCCTCAATCTCACCTCCTTACCGCACCCTCTTTCCTGCTCAACCCCACGCACTTGCTCTGACTTTAAGGGCACTTTTCCGGAGAACCCAGGGCGTGCTGCCTCCTCCGCGCAGCCCGCCACCCCTGGCAAGTCCAGGGGAGCACCTCCAGCGCCAGGCATGGCATTCCCCTGTGTCCTGCACCCAGTGGTGGCGGCGCGGGTGGGTGGGGTGGGGGGAGACTCCTCACCTTTGCAGAACTGGGGGACACAGAAGCTGAGCCCGACCAAGAGCCAAGCGGCCACCGAGTGCTTCATGATCCCTTCTCCGGGACTTGACCCCGGCTGGGCAGGCGATGGAGCAGGGGGGGCACGTGCCCGAGGTAGCACCGCAGGGCAGCAGCAACCCCGCCCCTGGCCGTGAATTCAGGCAGATGTCTTCTTCCTGCAGCGCTTCCTCAAACAAATTCTTGGAGAGGGCGAGGAAGAGTGGGTGCCCGAAGGGAGGGCTGTCTCTCCTGCTCTCGCCTGCGCTCTGGCGCAGAGGTGGGCGAGCTTTGGCAGCGGCGGGTCTCAGCCTCCGCTGCGGGTGGGTCCCGGCTGGGGCTGGGGCTGGGGCTGGGCGGCCGGGGTGGGGCGCGGGAGCCCGGGGCTCCAGGTCACCCGCTCGGCGATCGCAGGCTGGCCGCTCCGCCGGCGCAGCTGGGGCCGCTCTCCGGGTCTGGGCTGCGGGGCTGGCCACTTGGAGAACAATGAAGCGTGAGGGCGGGGAGCCAGCCAGCCGCCCCGAGCGCACTGTGTACAAACAGAGGCGGCGTGCGTGCGAGCCGAGCCTCCCCGGCTTCCCCAGGCCCCCGCCCCCGGCCGCCCTCTTATCCCTCCCTCCCTCCCTCCGCCTCCCGCCCCCACCCCGGCCCGTCCCCCCTCCCTCTCTGACTCTGTGGGTCTGTCTCTCTCACTCGGAGGTGGCTCCTTCTGCTGGAAAAGGGAGACAACCGCAGCCACACCCTGGCACCTGCCGCCGCCTCTGAAGTTCCTACCTTCCTGGGCGGCTGGTACCGTGTCCACACGCCCCAGAGGCGCGGGGTTAAGGGAGACACCTTTGGTGTCGGAGATTCTCCTGGTTTCCAGCACCGACTTTATCATGAACCACGTTAAGGATCCCCCCGAAGCCCTTTTCTCAGTACAGCCAGGAGAAGAAGTTAAGAGGTTCTGAAAAGTAGCTCTTGGGGCACAAAGCTGCTGGCGAGACAGAGCCCTGCAAAGTCACTTGTCCTGGATTCTCAGGAAATGCGACCGATTGAGCAGCGAGACTCCATCCAGCTAAGACGGGGCTGCTTCACTGTCTGTCTGCACTTCTGTTAGCTCTGGGGCTGGGGCAGAGGGTTGCGGGCTCATCTCTTCAAGGGGACCGAATGGTGAAGGCTGGGGCTAGGGAATGGGAGACCTGCATCTGTTTCAAGATGAGAAACATTGGGGTGAATTGGGGGCCGGGCAATGACAGGTTCTTGAAGCTTCACTAAAGTGGATCAAATCACCCTATTACCCACAAAAACAGTATAAATGGACTGGTTTGGGCAGTGGAAATAGCTGGACCAAAATATAGCCCTTGGCTTACAATAGTGTTCTCTATTTTTCTGATTAGAATGACCGCTTAGTGTACATGGATTCCGTTTCGGCAGTTGCAGGCACCAAAATGAAACACTTGCTTTGTTTTCTTCTTTCCTTCCAGAGAGGGTGGTAGGAAGAGAGAGAGAAACACAGACACAGCAAAATTGAAGGGAACATTCTTGAAGGCAAGGATGTGAAAGGAGACTGTATGTACTAAGAAAAGGATAACAGGATCTTTGGCCATGCAAACTCCATCTCCTTTTGCCTGCTTGGGTTCCTTAAACTTGAATTTCTACCTTCCTTTTGGAATTTGAAGTGAGATCAAGGATAAAAGACTGGTGGAAAAGTATTATTATATATTGCTATGGAGGAGTTAAGGTCTTGTACCGCTGGCAAATAAAACACAATGGCATTTCAAAATTATTTCAAACCAAGGTTTGTTCAGATCATATGTTTGGGGAGAGGGTAAAAGAATAGGGTTTACAGTTTATATTCAATATTATTCTGTATTAATTTCAGGTGTACAGCATATTGATTAGACAATCATAAATACTTTACAAAGTGTTCTCTCTGATATTTCCAATACTCAACTGGAACCATACATAATTACAGTGTTATTGACTATATTTCATATGCTGTACTTTACATCCCATGACTATTTTGTAATTATCAATCTGTGCATCTCAATGCCTGCTCCTTTTTCACTCAGTTGGTGAAAGGAATCGTTTTTTAAAATGACTTTGCTAAGGGAAAGTGGGAGAATCATTTATTCACTATTTTCATGCTTCAAGCCATTGATGTTAGAATAAGACATCATTGTCCAGAGTTGCAGCAAAGAAGTTTTAAACAGTGATATTCCAACCTTCTAGCACATCATTATTACTGAATTTTGAAAGTGGGCTTTCAGTCATGCTATGGCATGTCTACCATAGGGACCTTTTTATTCTTTTGAAATGAGATGTTTAGTATTAGTGTGAAGGTATTATTTCAAAGGTTAGTGCTAAATCTCAAAAATATAAAATGAAAAACAGTGTCTCTGTGATGAGGTATTATTTTCCTATTTAATTTCCATTTATTTCAACTTTTTTGATAATATATGACCTTAATAAGCATGTTAGGAAGTTAATTATTTTTTTGCTACAGTGTATGTTACTAAAAGTTTTTCTTGTTTTATGTTTTAAATATATTTTTTATTGATTTCAAAGAGGAAGGGAGAGGGAGAGATAGAAACATCAATGATGGGAGAGAATCATTGCTCAGGTACCTCTTCCATGCCCCCTACTGGTGATCGGGTGTACAACCTGAGCATGAGCCCTGACCAAAATCGAACTGTGACCTCCTGGTTCACAGGTCTACACTCAACCACTGAACCACACCAGCTGGGCACGTTTTCTCATTCTAATTTAAATTCTTAAAAAAAAAAAAACAACTCCAAGAGAGCATAAAACTACATTAAATGCATATTCTGTGACCAAATACCTGGAATTGTGACTATAAATGCCATTCTGTTTAACCTGGTAGACAACTTGTAATATATGTTGCCAGTTTAATACCTCTACTTCCACAAGTCCCACTTCCAATCTCATTCTGATACATAGCCTTAGATCCATAGCTTCCTGTGCTTAGCTACCCCCCTTTTTCTCACTTGTTGATAATGATCATGTACCAATCAGCTTTTCATTTTGAAGGTTCCAGGCACTTTATCTAATTTACATTGATAGCACTCATTTCACTCTTAATAAATTCATATCTAGCCTCTTCAGAAGTGGAATAGAAGAAATGTTAGAAGACCAAAAGATATAGATTTTAAAAAGAAGAAAAAATAAAAGGATAAAATTCTGTTATGAATCTTTTAGCTCACATAAAATGCTAAGGGTCCTTTACTAAGCATATATGATCCAGGCTACATTTTATAGCTTCTGCAAATATGTGCCCAAAATACCAAAAATGAATCTATACATCATTTGAAAACAGCACTTCCCAAATATTTTCTGCAAGCTTACTTCCCCCAAGATATTAATAGGTTTCTGAGGGAAAAAACAAATTTTGCCATGGTCCAATAATTTGGGTAACATTGCATATCAAAGCAGCATCTTGAGGATTCATGGTGAACACTAGCATATGAAACTCTGAAAGGTCCTGTGGTTATGAAACTTTTCCAGACATGTGTAATTCAGAATTTTGTAAACTTCTTTTTTCACTAGGACAAGTTTTTTCTCAGAACACCTGTTAACATATTGTACACTTAGTGCTACAAGGAAAAGAACTTGGAAAACATTGCCAGAAAATAAAGCAGAATACTAGTAAAGTATCAGCAAAACTAACAAAAATGGAAGTGTGTAAAGTTTACTGATTTTCAAGAATTGTTCTTATTTGCTTATAGTTTGGATTCTGGAACAGAACATATATGAATTGAAATACTGTCTCTACCACTATAACTTTTAACGTAGGCAAGTCCATTAATTGCCAAGCCTTACTATTCTCATCTGTAAAATGGAGTTAATAAAAGTACTAAACACATACTAGCAGTGATAGGTTATTGTCCCAAAAGGGCCTAGTCCATTAGTGGCTTCACAGTGATGATTATGATGATGATAACAATAGTGACGATGGTGATGATGGAGATAATGATGAAGAAGGAGGGGGAGGAGAAGGAGGAGGAGAAAATGAGTAAGACAATAATCACTTATGGAATTTTAAAAAAATTATCTCAATAACTAATTACCTTCATTCCCCATCCACCACCTCCATTAAATTATCGAAAAATTTTAAACTCAACTTTTAATTTGTCAAACAGTAAATAACACTAAATGTATTATTTCTCATTATTTCTGTAATTAATGAATAATATTAATAAATAAACTAAGTACATGAAGAGTCTTAAATTATTTTATCAAATGGTACTTGGCACTATGATTTTTTTATCATTTTGCATTTAAAAACTTTGTTTTGCATTTCAAAAACTTTATTTTCTTTAACATCCAAAATGTCCTTGGATTAAACTTTGGATTTCAGCTTTGTGTGACCCAAAGAAGAAAAGCCAGTCAAGTCCTGACCTGGACTTCTGACATATGTAACTGTGAGCTAATAAATTGGTGGTGTTTAAATCTGGTGAATTTGCAGTAACCTGGTAAGCAGAGAGGAAAAAATAACACAATAGATCACTATTATTACCCCCTTTTAGAGGAAAGGAATAAGGCACAGATCGGTTGGGTAAAGTGCCCATGGTCTCAACTTAGTAAGTGTTGGAGCCAGTAATTGAACCTAAACAGTCTGAATTCAGAGCCAACCACACTCCACTGGCAGCAATCATGGAGGCTCAACTGTATATTAAACACTAAGCATTTTCACATGTAATACTGCTTCACTAAATCATTCCAACAAGCGTTATGAGGTAACCATTATTTTTATCTCCATTTAACTGTTGAGGAAATCAAGAATCAAAACTTGCCCAAGATTAAGGCATTACTGAGGGATGGAGCCAGGAGTCAGGATCTGAGCCCTGATTTGATTCCAGGAGTGATTTTCACAACCATTATGTTGTAGGGTATATTTGCAAGTCATCTAACTTACTGTACTAGTATGTATTTATATTTTCAATTAAAGAAAGTATATGTAATTGTCATTTTTTAGTGTAGTCTGCCTTCTCTCTGACCTTCTTCATCTATCATTTTAGAGTATACTTTGCTTGAATGTAGGATTCCAAGAACATTTTAAAATTATCCAAAATATTTGCATAACTCAAAATACTTTTTGCATTGCTCTCCATAACACCAAGCTACGGAGAGCAATGCATTCTTTTCTCCAACCCTCCACTCATGCTGCTATGACTCCCTGAAAAAACCGCTCCCAAATTTTAATATCTGTATTTGAATGACCCTATAAGACCTCCCCAAATTATTCCAGTACAACAGAACCATCATTTCCTAAAACTAACACTTTTTATTTCTCTCTAGTTGTTTTGCTTGCATTGTGAATAGTTCTTGCCACGAAGATAATTGAGCGCCATGGACTTAGCAGCGTGTTAACATTTTGAATTTCTTTAGTCTTCCCACTACGCGCACTAAGGAAAGTTAGTGGTTAAGACTACACATTTTGTAGTAAATTCCCAGTTCCCAGTATTCCAAGCTTGATTCCCTGACAGATGCTGTCTCCAGAAAATATGCAGGTCATTACACAAGAATAAGCCTTTGCCTTCAGAGTCTGACCCCAGTAAGAGAAATTTCTGGTACCTCTC